TTCCTTCCTTCCTTCCTTCCTTCCTTCCTTCCTTCCTTCCTTCCTTCCTTCCTTCTTTTTCTTCTTCTTCTTTTTGTTTTAATCCCACCCCTTCCTCAGTTTAGAAGGTCTGTTAACTCACTGATTCTTTGTGGCTTTCTGTGTAAACATTTCTGTCCTCTGCCCGCTGCAGTAAAGGAGCAGGAACTTGGGCGGGACCCCTGGAGGTTTCTTTCACCTGTTACCTGGGCCGGGCCAATAGCAGCGCGGGCCTGACCGTGAGCACCAATCCCGCTGCTATCCCCCCCACCCCGCCACCACTCCCCACTCCCCGAGCCCGAGCCGGAGCCCTCTGGAAAGGGAGCCGTGGCACTTGGGAAAACTTGACAAGATGGCCCGGCGCTGACTGGCTGGGCACGCACGGTCCCCTGCAGCAGCAGCGCGGAGGCCCATGGCGGTGGCTGAGCTCTACGCGCAGGTAGGGGCGCGGGGACGCACCTGTGCACCTGCCCGGACGCGTGGAGGGGCAGAGGCCGGGAGCAGCTGCGAGCTCGGCCGAGCGCCTTGCGGGTGGGCACACCCAGCGGAGGGCCGCTGTATCACCTGGACCCTTCCTCCTGCCACTGTTGGAATCTGGGTCCCGCACTGGTCTAGAGCTTCGATCCAGCAGGACAGGCTTCTGTAACCTTCCAGGCCTCCGGAGCCTGGAGGATTTTGGCAAGATTGGCCTTGCTTTCTAGAATGCTGGGTGCGCTTCCCTGGGCGGCGAAGTTCCTCGGGGGATTCTCCCTGGAGCTGCCTGGTCTGAGCACATGAGTGCTGTTGGGCGCTCACTATCCCCTCTAAGGTGCTTAGCTCAGAGAGCACCTCCGACAGGCCTGGCGCTGAGCAGTGAGAGCACTCTGGAAAACTTCCAAGGCTTAAGAGCTTCACTCTCGGCCAGGAAAGCATGTGTAAAAATTAAACAGCCACGAAACGGATCTTGCTACACTGTCATAGCGGACATTATGAGCCCTTGAAGACAGATAGGGCGAGTATGGATTCTGTTGGAGCATTTTCTCACACACATGAACTTAATTTAGCGGAGGATGGGAGTGGGGCAGGGGTTACGGTTTGCTTTTGGGTTTGGGTTTTGTTGTTGAGACTGTGTCTCGCTGGGTCTCTCCAGCTAGCCTGGAAATCACTATGTAGATCAGGTTGATGTCAAACTCACCGAGTTTTGCCTGCCTCTGCCTCCGGAGCGCTGAGATTAAAGGTGTGGCCTCCATGCTCCACCCTGTTTTTGAGACAGGTGCTTGCTTTGTATCCCTGGCTTGAATGGTACCCTCTCTACAGCTCAGGCTGGCTTCACACGTGTGGAGATCTTGCCTCAGCGACCCGAGCGCTGGTATTACAGATATATATACCCCACCACACCCATCTTTATGCCTTAAGTTTAAAAGACACTTAATGATTATAGTTTCCATGGGGGAGATTTTCTTCTACTTTGTTTAATAAGTTACAAGCATATATCAGACAAAAAGGATATTCCTCTGATGCGTTCAAACCATTGCCTTATAGTTTATGTCTCTTTCCACCTGTGCCCCAAGATGGGGACTGAACCTAGAGCCCTGTGCTTGCTGGGCAAATGTTCCACCATAGAGTTAAATCCCTCATCTAGAATATTTTACCTGATACGTGTGAGCCACCAGGTAATCAGCAGTTTCTAAGTCTTCATGTTACTAACTATAAAAGAAAAATTTTCAGCAAACCCCCACCCTATTGGATATTCTTGCGGACAGATAGCTAGCTGATCATTGGTCTGCTTTGAGGAACAATTTTTCTTGAATCAAAAATACACAGGTGAACTTACCCCTATTCCCAAGTGCCTGTAATCACAGCACTCAGTGGACTGAGGCAGGAGGATTGCCTTGGGTTTGAGGTTAGCCTGGACTACATTGTGAGTTCCAGGCAGCTAGAGGTAAATACCAAGGTTGGTTTTTTTTTTTTCCCCAAAAAATAAGTGAGGTCATGGTGTGGTAGAGGAAGGAAGGATGGTGGAGTGTGGCGGGGTAGGGCTTTCTCTGCAGACAGAAGCACTGTGCTTGGGGGAGCAGAGAAAAACTGTTTTGTTTTATTCCAGAGTCATTGTTTTGCCACCAAGGTATTTTCTGGTTCTCTGAAGAGAGAAACGTCAAGCGGGCATTTGCTGAGGCCGTGGGAGTACAGGGGGAAGCCGAACTGAGGCAGAAGGGCTGCTCAACAAAGGTGGAGGTTAGGAGGCTTAGAAGAGCTGCCTCATCAGGGTCCCAGCCTTTCAGGGATCCCGATGGATCTGCAGTCCTGGATGTGAGGGGTGGAGACAGACAAGGAGGAACTGCCCAGGAAATATTTAGACAAGGGACACACCAAGGACGACATGGACACGGCATCTGTGTGACTGAGAACAGGGTGTGTGGGGGCCGCATTAGAGCCATTAGGAGAAGGAAGTGTTTCTGCAAGGAGTCAGGAAGCACCAGCAAGGGTGTTGAAGAAGCAAGAGGACCCCAGGGGAGTGAGTAGGGGGTGCACAGCCGGGATGTCTCTAGGGAATGGGCTTAGTCAGGGGCTGGGGTGCCCTCTCCCTGTATGGCCACTGAAACCAAGACAGGAGCGCCCCACTGCAAGAGGGCCAAGGCCAGGACAGAGGACTGCCTGCGTTCCAAGAGAGAAGCAGCCGCTGGCTGCCAGTGGAAGAACCATCACAGAGAAGGCAGGAGGGCTGAGTGGTACCAAAAAGAGAGGTTCCCAGAAGGAAAGGGGTTCCTGAGAGAGGCCATGGAGCAGGAGGTGTGAAATGACCCACCTCCCGCGGCAGCATGCCTGAGAAATAGTCTAAGCAGGATTACTGAATCCCTTTGAGAAAAACTGGTCTGACAAATCCCTACTTATAACCTTCATGAAGCGTTTGTCACCTTAGATCCCAACCCTGCCACAAGGACCTGCTTCTGCATCCTCTACCAGCCCCCCCCCACCCCCAGTTCCTAGCTGGCTTATGCCCTGCCAGGCATGTTGTCTGTTCTTCCCAGCATGGCCTACATGTTCGCCACTGGCTCAGCACACCCTTCAGCTTCCATCTGGGCAGACTCTGAGAAACCCACAGCCAGTCCTCCATCCAGCACCCTGACCGCTGTCAACATGGCCAACTATGTGTCCTCTCTGCTGGCCATTAGCTTGTAAAGACCAGGGTGCGGTGATCACACTCTAAATACAGGCTCTGTGCACACATTCAGGAGCGGGTGTTTCTGTTTACAGCGACAGCCGTGGGCAGAATGGTTATTTTTATCTTGCATGATAAAGTGGAATGTTTCTAAGTACCAGACATCATCCTCAGAACCTTCTCTCTATCTGAAATAATCTGAAGAAAAAAAACTATGTGTTAAACCTTCAGACCCCATTCTATATGGAGTTCAGATCAAGGAAGTTTCCTTAGTTACACGGACCCGACAGAGTCAGAGTCCTAATGCCTCTCTATGCTCTGACCTGGACCCCACCTTACCATCCTCAAGGAACGTGAGCTTTTGCCCATGCAGAGGACTCCTGGGAAGTCCATGTTGTCTAGCTACCTGCCCACACATGCTAATTTGTCATGTTGTTCTCTATAATAACTATATGGAACTAACCCCAATATCCATCAAGACAGAGAAAAGCTAGTCACAAAATCCCTCCCACACGATGAAGGACAGAGAGGCCCAAGGATGCTGCCTGGGAATTCACAGCAGC